AAGAACCGTTGATTTTGACAATAAAGTTCCGAGTTGATATCAAATGTGTCGTGATTATTCATGTTTGGATGGGTAAAGAATATTCTGATTTCAAAAGCATAAGGTTGTGTGTGGACTTTTTTTGTCGTACACATGGGTGTGTTATGCCATTGCTGTGTAATAATATATATATATATAATAGTACATGTACAATGAAAGATTGCATAAAGCCATATACACCAGTATTTATTTCCATGAACAATATTAGCATTCGTTTTACAATTTCAGTCAAAAGAAACAAACCACTCACTGCTCTATTTGCCTCAACTGTAGTCCACCATGTTCAGCTCTGTAAATATTCAATGCATTCTGCAGGGAGAACACATTCAGGCACACAGGCTCCAATCCAGGATGGTCCACCATACAGGTTACAGAGTCCTCAAGTTCCTGCATCCGTCTTGACACCTAGTGTGATAAACATATTGAATGACATGTTAAAAATGCATTCTCTAAACAGACAACTTAGTGAAGCTATCAAAAATGTTACCTGTGGTATCTCCATGCAGCACACATTCTCCGGTTCAGAAGGCATCGTGGCGCAATTTGCACATGTACACCTGTAGAAAGAAGTCAATAACTGAGCTTTTAAAAACACATGAAACTACACACACTGCTGACAACTGAGGTGTTGTTGGAGTTATACTTTTTATCACCCTAAGTTATTGAACTTTCCAACGGTTGTTGCACGATGTTGGAAGAAAAGGGCTGTAAACTATTAATAAACGCAATGAGGCCATTGTATATATGCTGAAAATATGAATGTCTCCCTTTATAAATATATATATGTATCGCTGTTTTTGCGTTACAAGCTCTAAGTTATAAACTGTACACATAGCATTCTTGCTAATTAGCCAAAATATGAACGGAATAAGTAGCAAGCATCGTAACAGAGTAAAATAAATAGGAACAACAGCTTGTCAACTAACCATTCAGAAACGTCCTGCTGCAACCGAGATCTTTGCACCTCCACCAAAACCTCCGCTGCTTCAGGGTCAGTCTCTGGATCAAATTGATAATACGCTTGAACACATGCATTGCTCTGAGATGACATGTTTATTCCACACTCGTAATTACAGCAAGCATGTTAACGTGACTCTCACCGGCTCATGCCCCGCTCTTCTACAGGGGGCCGTGATCAGCTGCTGCTCAGAATTTTCAAAGACAGGCTTGGAAAAGAGCGAAAATGAGCGAAACGAGGCATGGCTAAAAAATGATCTGTTTGGTATTTTGAAAAATAAAATGTATAAATATACCTTATATAGGTATGGTCATACACTATATCATTTAAATATAGCATGATAGGTCTCCTTTAAAATAAATTAAACACATCACTTGGGGAGTCCTCTGCACATTTGAAGAAAATGAATATAATTAAAATGGGCCCACTTTTAAATAAATAAAATATAGCTGCACCCTAAAAAGAGTTAACTGATTGAATTATGGCCCATTCCCAAACCGCCCCCTACACCCTACCCCTGGCCTACTACACCCTACCCCTCCGTTTGCGCGTTCACGCGGAGGGTCCGCCATATTGAGGGCTGTTCCAAAGCAACGAGTGTGGAGGGGGAGGGGGAGTGGGCTATCAAGCACTCAAACAGCGAGTCTGCAGCGGTGCTGACTTGAGACCGGTCTCTACCTGACCGGAGTCACGCTGTGTGTGTCCGTCAGGAAACACGCTGTTTACAAGTAGTTCCAGCAAACATCCACTGATAAATTGCGATGTTAACAACCTCATGATAACCTCATATGTTTTAACTTCGTATCGTACCTGAGTTTAGTCTAGAAAAAGGTAAATGTGTGCATTTTATTATAAAGTTGTGTATATTTACAGACCGTTGCAAAAACTAAGAAGCTTATAAACATCAGGTTTAAAACTAAAAGAGCTTTGAAACACAATGAAAGATGTTTGGAGTTTTATTTGAGTTATTCATTTAAACTTTTTGTCAAAGAGATGCTGATTTGAAACCGTTGTTACATACAGTTACGGCATTTCCTGTTTCTGCCGGAGAGAGGGGAAGCCGTCCCAAAGCTTGCTGCTGTATTTACTCCCTCCATCTGACAGGAGGGAGCCTCGTTGAGCTGCGAGTGTGGCTACAGACGGAGTTAACTCCATCACGGAGGGGTAGGGTCGAGGGAGTGGTTTGGCCTTATGGCGCGTTTCCACTGCAGGCCTCGCTCGGTTTGGTTAGGCCTTATTAGGCCCGGCTCACTTTAATGCTGCGCTTCCATTGGGGCCCAATCCCAAATCACTCCCTCGACCCTCCCCCTCCGTGACGGAGTGAACTCCGTCTGTAGGCACACTCACAGCTGAATTAAGTTCCCTCCATTAAAGGTTAAGGGTATAAATACAGCGGCAAGCTTTGGGACGGCCTCCCCTCTCTCCGCAGGAAACGGAAACGGACGTCATGGTGTCCAACCCACATCTGTCGGCTGCATTGACCTGCGTTGCTATCCGTCGCCTGTTAGCGGGTGCAATGGCAAGATCCAACAGAAGGCGCAGAAGGTTGAGGCGCATTTTAGCGATGTGCCAGTGGCAGGTAAACATTTCAATATTGCTAATACAACAATTATCTTCACTTTATTTCTTATATAGTAGCCTATGAACTTTGTATGTGTAATACAAATAGATATTTAGATATATTGTGATATACATTCATTTATTCTTTCCTTATAAGCTATACGTGTATATCTGTATAGTGTCTGTAGAATTCCAACACAGAGAAATGTTGTCAGTAGTTTATAGAATAAAAAAGGAAAGGTTCATTTGACTTGGTCTCAGAATTGTTTACAGAGCTGTGTGTGTGTGTGTGTGTGTGTGTGTGTGTGTGTGTGTGTGTGTGTGTGTGTGTGTGTATAGTTATTGAACAATACTGTGTCCTGTGTTTACAGGGGGGCAAAGGTCTTTACATGCAGCTCAATGCTACTGCCCCAATTCTCGCCGTGTATGCCAACCCTGAAGCCTGTCTAAAGAAGGACTTTAGAGTTAAGCGATCTAGTGTGGTGTATTTAGTGCAGATGCTTTCCTCCCCAAAGGACCACGGATGGAGACAAGACATTGAGGTGCTTGTTCTCCTCTACAGCTTGGCCCATGGACTATCGCTCTCTGTGGTGGGTTCAGCATTCAGGATTCCCAAATCGACGGTCCACAGGATCATCAAGCACGTCACCGGGAAGATAAAGGCCAACCTGAAGACCCTAATTTCCCTGCCAACCGCAGATGAGCTGCCAGAGATTGCAGATGGCTTATGTCAGCTTGCAAAGAGTCCTGCATTTCACCGTGCTGCTGGTGCGATTGATGGATGCCATATTCGCATCAAACCTCCAGGAAACGAGTACCACAAGGAGTACATCAATTACAAGCCGTTTCCTTCCATCCAGATGCAGGCCATCTGTGACTCAACTGGGAGATTCCTGGATGTCTTCATCGGCTATCCAGGCTCCGTTCATGATGCCAGAGTACTGCGAAACAGCCCCATCTTCTGCCAGGCACTGTTTCCCCCAGCTGGTTGGTTCCTCCTTGGGGACGGTGGTTATCCCTGCCTGGAAAAACCAGTGGGATTACTCACACCCTACAAGGTCCCTTGCGGCCAGGTGCAGGCCAGATTCAACAGGCATCATGCCAGGGCTCGGTCTGTGGTGGAAAGAGCATTTGGAAGGATGAAGGCTCGCTGGAGGGCCACCCTTTTCAAAGCGCTGGAGGTCAGTCCAAGCTTTGCCCCCGACATCATTGCATGTTGTGCATTTCTGCACAATCTGTGCATAGACATGAACGATGTCCTTGAGGATGCTGAAGCCTTCCCCCCTGAAGATGTTTGTTTTAGTGAGCTCCACTTCTCACTTTAGAGAAAAGAGGTGAAATAAAATAAACCTGTGCACCGTTGATTTCAAACTTGGTTTTCCTGAATTGTCTTTCTGCATAATCCCAAATTGGAGACAAATGTCCTTACCTCTTGGATCATTCAATCACGAGCACAGAGCAAAGATTCAGAAAATGAACACAGGTCTTCTAATACAATCACTTAGTTTTTGAGTGAAACTCTGCAAATGGTTTGACATGAGCAATTAAGACCGTAAATGGCATGTATATTTTAATGCCTTATACCTATGAAGCGCACAGACATATCTTTATTTAAAATGCTGATATTCAGGGTTAATCTTCAGACTTTGGAAAAAACACTTTAGTTCCGTGCACAACATTACTTTGTGCAAAACTTTTCCTTCTACATTATGAAACCCACACAGAACAATGTAGCCATCTAACAATCAAGCAAACGCAATGTCACCTTCATCACCCGTCTACCTGTATTTACTATAGAATATTGAAGACATGAAGGACAGTACGTTAAATTAGGTTTATTGTCTTCCAAATAAATAATACAAGCGAACAAAAACAAGTCTTTTAAGTAACATCAATAATCAACATAGAAATGGCCAATGGTGGGGGGGAAAAATAAATCACATTTTGTCGACCATTTTTTCGAACAGGGTTAGAAATGTATCTGAGTGCTGCATTCGTCCTCTTTTTCTGCCTCGCGTTCTAGGCACTCCAGCACTCCCATAGCACCTTTTCTTTTTTGGGGGGGGGGGCTGCTGGGTGGTTCCAGCCTCAGACAGGGATGAGGGTGGTGAGGGGTCTGGATCATCAGCCACATTTGGGGGGGGAAGGAAGAGGAGCAGGAAGCAGCCTCCGGATCAAAGAGGATTGTGGGGTTTGCCAAGGCTGAGGCAACAAGGACAGGAGGACTAATTGAAGGCCTTGCACCTATGGCCTCATCCATGGCCATGAAGAAGGGCCATGTTGCAGGGGTTTCTTCCCCCTGATCAGTCCCTGTTCCAGTCATTGGCCTTTTAAGTTCCTATTGCAAACAAATGCATGTTAGAAATCTTTGTTCAGCTTTTTCAAAAACAAACATGTTTTACAATAACAATACACCATTTACCTTGTATTTATTTTTTAGGTTCTCCCATTTCTTGGAGGCCTGTTTGTGAGACACATGTTGCCCAAGGTCCAGTTCCTTAATGATTGACCTGTTATCATAGAATATTTAAACAATATATATTGGTGTTAAGGCAATGACCCACAGTGCATATTCATTACTTTCATTGCACAAAATATGAATTGAGTGCATAACTCACTCCCATGCTTCTTTGGCAGCATTGCGTTTTTTGCAGAACAGGTCATCCTTTTCCATTCTTAAAGGAATAAGTGCCTTGGTTTTTACCACAGTCCCTGAAATTACAAATCACACTTAAATTTAAACCGATTTCGTAAGTGAATGGATACATGAATTGACACATGTGTTGTTAGTTTGATTCCGATTTAGATTTGTACATCTTCAAAATAAAAATCTAATGTAATCTTGGCAAATCAAATTAACACGTGTAGATTTATAAATACATGTTCACAAAGGCATGTTTTAGTTAAGGCAACGTATTATTTATCGTTTAAAAAAATAACCACATGGAACTCACATTTGTATGACGTTGTTTCCTCCATGCCCGAAAAACGGTTGCACACCTGTGGAGTGAGATTATCAAGCCTGCATCCATGCAAACTCGCTGTCGGAGGCTTTTATAAGTAACCCACTACGCCTCCGCCCTGATTGCTTTGGACCAGCCCTCAATATGGCGGACGCTTCGCGTGAACGCGCAAACGGAGGGGTAGGGTGTAAGGCAGTGCTTCTCAAAGTGTGGTCCGCGGACCACTGGTGGTCCGTGAGCGCCCCCTAGTGGTCCGTATATTGGTAACATTTCACATTTTACATACATTAATTAATTTGAGTTTTTCCGCACTCTCGCGGGAATATCTCCGCAATGGAGCGAGCTTAAGTTTAACTTTAAATTGCATGATATAGCCCCGTGCAACACCTTCATCACACATGTTGCCACTTGTTTGTTCCATTTTCAAGCGATTTGTAATCTGTTCTAGAAAAACGATGTGATTTTGGATATTTGTGGAGTTAGGTGGTCCGCGAGTGTTTTTTTATTGGTTAAGTGGTCCTTGGTATGAAAAAGTTTGAGAAACACTGGTGTAGGGGTAGGGTGTACGGGGCGGTTTGGGAATGGGCCTACAGTTTAGGAACTGGGGTAGTTACTATAGTAACGCAGTGTAGGCGGAGCCGTGACGTCATCTTCAATGAGCGCCCCAGAAAAACAACACAGCCGTTAGCTCTTAGCACTCAGAGCTCACAGCTCTTCATATCTGTTCAGAAACTAGACAAAAGTTAAACAAGTACAAACCACAGACTGCCTGTGTCATGGCGAATACAGTCGCTGGTTTATTTATGTCTGTATAGGCCGTTGTTGTGAGTGTGGACGGTCTGAGCATATATAACGTTAGCTTAGCCAAGCTACATTTAGAAAACACGCATTTTAAAATGGGTTTTCGCCTGCCGTCTGTCTGCAGACTTGTCAAAGCATTAATTCATGGTTTTTACTAGTATGTTGTTACTTCGGCATCATTTTGAAACGTGTATTACAATTAAATCACGGTCAAATATTTTCATCTTGTTGTAGTTGTAGCCCCCTTGCCAGCGATTATTTCTCTAGTTTAGCATACTCAGCCTGGTTGTTCCTGGCCCGAGAACCACGATTTTGTGGTTCTCGGGCCAGGAACAACCAGGCTGAGTATGCTAAACTAGAGTATGCTAAACTAGAGAGAGAATCGCTGGCAAGGGGGCTACAACTACAACAAGATGAACATATTTGACCGTGATTTAATTGTAATACACGTTTCTAAATGATGCCGAAATAACAACATACTGATACCGGTTAGTAAAAACCATGAATTAATGCTTTGACAAGTCTGCAGACAGACGGCAGGCGAAAACCCTTTTAAAATGCTTGTTTTCTAAATGGAGCTTGGCTAAGCTAACGTTATATATGCTCCGACCGTCCACACTCACAACAACGGCCTATACAGACATAAATAAACCAGCGACTGTATTCGCCATGACACAGGCAGTCTGTGGTTTGTACTTGTTTAACTTTTGTCTAGTTTCTCAACAGATATGAAGAACTACCCCAGTTCCTAAACTGTAATGGAAGCGCAGCATTAAAGTGAGCCGGGCCTAATAAGGCCTAACCAAACCGAGCGAGGCCGAGCGAGGCCTGCAGTGGAAACGCGCCATAACCACGCAGAATTAAATCCTGTGTTCCTCCGATACTTTTCTTTTCTTTGATTTATCCATAGTTCGCTCATCGAGCCGGGGTTAGGTTATTCACCTGCAAGAAAAGGCGCTAGCGCGGGACCGTAGCAGGATGTGACGCATATTTTAGTTGACCTAATTAAAACCGTTTTGTTTTTTATTTATGTGTCACAGTATCACCTCAAAATACAAGATACGAAACATTTTCAACAATGCAACAACATTTAAATAGTCCTACAAATGTTGTACTTGTATTTAATTTCCTTCTTATTTATATCTAAACCATGGTCTAAACTCAAGGGAGCCAGAGCAGAAGGCTTAAAGAGCCGTGGGTTGCCGACCCCTGACCTATACAGAGCAACATGTAAAATACAGAATATGTTTTGGTAACAGTCATTTCATTTTGACCTGCTCATCAATTACAAAACTCACTTTCAGATGGAGGTTTTCCATTTGTACACAGAGTGATCCAGATTTGGTGAAGCTTTTGGATACTTATATATTCAAAAGCAAACTGAAACCTTTTATTTTCTCATGCTTATTGATAACATACGGCAATGTTTGTCTGTAGCTGTTTTCATCGTTTTTCTAATGCTTTTGTTGCCATTGCATTAACTCGTATTTTATTCATGATATATTTTCTTTGCATAATATTGCTTTTTGCTTTATGTATTGATGAATTAGGCTGTACTCTTAATGACTACTCATTAAATACACATGCACAGTCCAATACTACTGTTTATGCACAGTCTATTTTTATGATGCCTATAATGTTTAGGTTTTTTGGAAATGTGCTAGGGTTAGGGTTAATTAAATAAGCACGGAGGTCAGAGTTACAGGTGGTGTTGCACTGGACTGCAATATATATTTAGCGGTGTTACATATGTATACAAATATGAATGGTAGTATTCATGGCAGAGTATTATTGTTATGGTCATATTTAATTTTCCAAAGCAGCAATCCCAATTTTCAGTACAGATAACATAATCAGAATTGCAAAATGTGCGGTGCATATTATAAAAGACCAGCATTCAGAACTACTTCTAATTAACTTTGTTTCTCTTGTCTATTTACCACTGTAAAACACACAAGTAAATCTATCATTGTTATTTAAATATAAATAAGAATGTGAAGCTCAATTTATATTTAAAAAATTGATAGAACAAAGTTTATACAATAAAATATGCCTTGGTTATTAATAAAATAAAAAAACAGTACTTAGGTTGTTGGACAGTACAGATTCCAGGTCTGCTTAAAAAGAAAGATCATTTTGACTAGTAATGAATTATTCAGTGCGGCAAACTTTAAAAAAAATGAATATTACATTTTCATTTTATTTCTGCAATTTGCTCAGTTTACAGCAATGCACTTATTAGGTGGGGTAATTGAAATACAGAAGAGTATCCATTATTAATAGAAAGAAACTTCCTTTAAGCCTCCCACTGTCTGTCTGTGTGATTCTAAAACAAGAGCCGCTGAAGGTGTGAAGAGAGAGCAAGGGGGAATGGTGAGAAATAAAAAGAGTTTCAGAGCAAGACACGTACGTGGGTGACCACATTATTTAGAACAAAATGAAAAAATGCAAAGAGAAGCCACTGGAGGGCGATTTGGAACCAGCTGTAGTGATTATTGCAGCAATAGCACAACTCAAACAAGGACTGTGCAACCATATAAAGCCATTTATCACTGAATATTCATTTACAACTCAAAAAGTGTTTAAGTGGCTGGCAGTGGATTTGTCTCTGAGTGTTACTTACTAATATCTGTATTCTTCAAAGTCTGAGTAATTTGTAAGATATTATTTGAACTGTGATGATACGTTTTCAGAACATTGCTTTTTTAAAGCCTATGTAAAGAAATAAAACACTTTTTCCATTTAACAGAAGGAGAAATTCTCCAATGTATGCCAATGTACGTTCATAAAAAAAAAGAAGTAAACTTGGGATTCAAAATCAAGCCATCAGTTTGAAAAAATAACTCACAAATATATTACATTTCAAAACATATGTAGGGGTTTTTCTATTATTAAATGTCATATTTTACATTTGAGTCAGAACGTCCTTTTATAACATTTTTCAAGTCTTACCATATTTGTATTTTCTCAGTATGACACAGGTATTTGCAGGGGAAGAACGGGTAGTGGTTTTATTTGATGTTGAACAAGTAACAGGCAGTTTGATAAGTGTTAAGATGTTATGAGTCATTCTGTCTGCTGCAGTCTCTCTAGTCCAGAGAAGGAACTGGTACTAAGAGGAACTTTGGTGAGTGGATTTATTCAGAGAGCAGGGCTCAACAATAAGGAATGCCAGGTTAAGCTGGAACCAAGTGGTTAAAAAATAATAATATTACATGTAAATGGACTCATTGAGCACTTTATCCAGTGTTTACAACTTCTCAAGTGCTTCATTTTTGGCCATGCCATTGGGAGCAATCGGGGTTAAGCATATAGCCCAAGGATACATCGACATGTGGACTGCAGGGGCCACAAACTTCTGATTGAAAAACGACCATATACAGCCAGTAGCCCCAAGATATTGACGCTCTGATTGATTGGCTGCCCATATAGAAGCATGTTTGTCCTAAAAACACATAGATATATAAAAATGCAAAACTGATGAGCAAGTTAATGGAAAAACTGTGTAAATATGAAACACAAATTGTGCTTACATTTATAAAATCTGTAAAAACAGTAGTCAGGTGTCATGATATTATTTTTTGGTTGATCAACATCCTTGACTTGCTTTTCTGACTTCCAAAAATGTCCCTAAATGTCTTTCAACATGGGTGGCATAGCTCCAAGGCTCCGAGCTGAGGTAAAGACAGAAGCCATGACAAAAAGCTCTGACTTCCTGCTCATTAAAAACCACAAAACACAGGAAGTTGTTGTTTTAGACTCGTGTGTTAAAGGCAAATGCATACTTCAGTGTTTAGATTTATCACATTTTCTTCAAAATAAAAGAAACCAACATGGTTTAAAAACAGAAAACGTGCTGGTATTTTGTGTCTGTATTATTATTGCTGCACTTTGTCCTCATTCAAACAGCTTTCTATGAGCCCACTGAGGTATTGCTAATGTGTTTTAGGAGGTTTGTTTTACTGTATGTCGCAGCAGCTTCCTGATTCCAGGCATGTTTCTACCCAGGCCGCCTTCCCTGCTGCTAAATGCAGGAGGAAATCCCTTAAGAGTGTTTTCACTGACTATCTGCACAAGAGCAGGAAACAGGGACGTGCTGCCTCCTTTTACCCACAATACCACCAACAGCAGGTCAGTCCCACACTTATATCACTGTATTATCATGAGTTAATGACCAACAGGAGTTTGTGAGCACATACCAACACATACTTAACTGATAAATATGGGCTTGCAGTTTGTCTTATGTCATTCAAGTCAACCTAACCTTATTTGGACAAATCAGACTTAAAATAAATGAGTCTGCCTCTTTGAATTTCTCTTCCCTGACAGTGTGTATTCCTCCTAAAGACCGTTCTGATATCATTTTAGTTGCGTTTAAAGCTCAGTGTGTTCCTTAAATAACTGTTCTACTGATTATAATATCTTTTTAAAAATGTTTGGCCAACAATAGAGCACTGTGACACAGGAACATATCCGTTTTATACAGATAATACTTGGCAGGAATAACTAATTGTTGGGTAGGGACTGCACACAGGATTTGCTGACAATAAGAAAGATTAAGTCTTCTTTCCCCCTTGCAACATTCCTGATATGAGATTGATTGTATTGGTATTTCCCTTTGAAAACAAAGTTCTAGATAAGCCAGAAAAAAACCCGTTTCATGTTATGACAAATTGAGCAGCTCGGTAAATGAGCCCCAACAACATCTGATAATACATCAGTCACTTGACTGCAGAAAAAAGACACTTAGGGATCAAATGGATGACTTTTCCAATTAATCTTAAATCTTTAAAGCTGTATTACTCGTTTTTTTAACAACTGGAAAATATGACTGAGACATTACAATGGTTTCGCTATAAGATATGAACCCACAGAAAACTGTAATCTGACTTTTGAGTTCCCCTCAGCTCTTCGAGCGGATTAATAGTATATCTTTCTGCTTATCGTTTAAGATAAAAAATGTTAGAGAATATCTGGTGGAGAAGCTTAAGAGACAGATATTTCCCCCAGGAGGAGACCAAAACAGAGCAGAAAGTACCGGTTATATACAGTGTTTCCATTAGCCAGTATTTACCAGACAAATAAAAGTCAATCTTTAAGGCTGCGCTCAGAGTAAAAAGAACAAAAGGTTTCAGTTACTCCCTGTGCAAAGACAGAACCTACATCCCCACAAAGAACGATGGAGGATGAGTTAACGACAGGAACTAACTGTGGCCTAACGTCAATACTAGTTAGTTTGGTGAAAAGTTGTACTATATCGAACTGGCGGTACTTTGTGAATATTACCTGTCTATCGTCTCTACATGGTCACACTGATGATCGGACGTTTACTGACTTTCCTGTTGTGCTAATTCTGGCTGGAGAGAGTTTATTAATAGCGGTCGCATATCCTTTAAAAACTAGCCATTAATGTGCGCGTCGTAGGTGCCCTTCGGTTATGAAGGCTTTAACATTTGTCAAAAATAATTTCGATAAATTAGAAATCTACATTATTATGTAATTCTTTAAAAAGCCTTTTTATCAATTGTTTTCAAGCTCAATAATAAACACAGATCATATTTAGCCAGAATATTTCCCATCAGTCGGTTCAATTGAAATCTTACCGTACATATATTACAGTATATATATATCGGACACAACTCAAATTGAACATGAATGTGTCTGCTGGATGTATAAAGTTAACTTTTTCCTAAAATGTTAGCCAACTACAGAAATACATATTATGTCATGTTTTTCCTGCTACATGTGCTGCCCTCAAGTGGCAAGAAAAAAAAATGAATGCATGTTTAATTGACAGTATTTCCTGAGCCGATAAATAATATCTGTGAATAATTTGATACTCTAGTAATCTATCAGTAGTATAACTCTATAAAATGTATCTAAAAACTTTGTTCAATTTAATAGTCACATCTTATTTATGATGTGTAAAACATTTTTATTTTATTATCTTTTCTTTTTAATGACTGATTTTAAATGCCATTTTCTTAATGTCTTTCGTTTTTTGTAAAGCACTTTGAATTGCCTTGTGTTGAAAGGTGCTATATAAATAAACTTGCCTTGCCTTGCCTAAAGAGTCATACAGTAGCAGTCTGAGCTTTGGAAATATTATATTGACTTAAAATGAAGGTGCTGGCATTATTTGGCAGCTGTCAGTAAAAGTAAATCTGCAATGCTGTGAAAAAATGATAAGTCCTAAAAATAAAATAAAAGTTATAAGTAATACCAGATATTATGTAAGCACAGTCAGTTTGTATTGATTCCTCCTCTTACCCCTCCACAGGATACCTTACATTCATGATGAGGACATTATCTCCCTTTCATCACTTCTTTCACTGCTATCATTCTATCTGTTCATCAGGGGAGAATAAATAAACCCACCCATGCACATGCACAACAAACCCAGACAGCAGTGCTAAGATAAAGAGGGATGGGCTTCCTCAACCCACTCAGCTCTCAGACCTCGAGCTTCAGTAATGGCAGCTCAGGTCACCGACTGACCCTGAAGTCACTGCTGATCCCCTGACCGCTGCACCATGATCCTGTACCTGCTTATTCCTGTTCTTATCCTCAGTACGTATACAACTTTTATTTTACTCAATGGTTTAAGCTTGATGATGTTTTATTTCTTAGTATTTCCTGTTTTATCGGGTTTCCAAATGTCCATTGTTTTCCCCGTGTGGGATAGATAAAGGAAGAAGGTGGTGCGGTGGGGGGTTAGTTTTGGCGAAGAAAAGGCTGGTACGAGTCCTTTTTTTAAATGGGTTGTAATTGTTTGTGTGATGTTAAATTGCTTCATTTAATCCGTTTCTACAGATAATGTGGAATCACAAACAGCCAACATGACAGAGGAAGAGAAGAGCAGAGATTTGAGGAACCAAACATTCAATGAGTTCAAAACCAACAACAGTAAGGCTGACCTTTTGTTTTCATTTTCTGTGCATGAGCAGAGCTGCAATTACTGACTTTCTTCATTTTCAGTGTCGGTTTTTGTCAATTGGTATGTAAGATGTCAGATAGTTTAATATTTCCATTACATCAGATTTCTCATTATGTTTGCACAATAATTAGAAAGCTTAAAATATTCTTTATTAAAGACTGAGAAAAACTATCACATTTTTACTTCTGAAACCAGAACAGAAGCTAAAACTAGTGAAATGTACGCGATTTGTGTCAAATGTTCAGTGCAGGCCCGGTTCCAGAACAAAATGACTCAGGGTGCATCTGAGATTAGAGAGGGTGCAGTGGTAAAGTGCTATTTTTTATAAGTGGGGAGTGGACCTAACACCCTCTAGGGGGGTCCTCACCTCCTCTAGGAGGGTCCTCACTTCCTCTAGGGGGGTCCAGGCGCATGCTCCCCCGGGAAGATTTTTTTTTAAATATTGAAGTTAAAAGCATCAATCTGGTGCACTTTGAGAGCAACATTAAGAGATCTATGGATCTATGTGCTCTTTGCTTGATTCATGCCTTCCCAGTCACTTATCACATAGCCTATAAGAGCATGGCGCCAGTTGTAGTAGCCAGTTGTGATGAAGGCATCTGACTTACTTGAACCGAAATGTCTACATGCATAGCAGAAGATGGCATCTTTTTTACATGAATATTCCAGCCAATCTCTGTTTTGAAACCATGAGCTGCAAAATGAGCGCCTTACCCCACTGTACAGGCGAGTTGGGTACTTTTTTAAATATACCTGGGCAGGTTCTGTTTTACTGAGGTCCTCTGGCACTTGCTGGCCGCTGAGGGGTGGCGGTGTTTGGGGCAACGAAGACGGCTGCGGCTGCTCCGCCTCCGTGGGCGAGGCGGGCAAAGCCGGCGAGTGTCCACGACAGTGGCCGCGGGTAACGTAATGTCCCCATGATCTGAACTGTTATTACCTGCAGTAGATGCAGTGTTACTGCTGGCGATAAGGGCTGGTTGTTTTAACCATTTTCTGATGTCCATCACTGACTGCTGTGTAAGCACCTTGCAGATGATGAACGTGCAGCGGCACAGGTCACGCACACCCTGACATAATAACATTACTTACCGTTTAAATTGACCAAATAAATGCAGCAGACAATGTTATTTAACCACAATTTATTTTATTTCAACTATATTCTTCTTATTATTATATATGTCGTTTTTTCACTTTTCATTTTTCAAATGAGGGTGCATAACGACTCAACTGAGGGTGCCATGCACCCCCGTAGAACCGGGCCTGGTTCAATGATTCATCAATTATAAAAATTGCAAGTAATTGTCTGAAAATCAATAACTAAGTGTTATGTCGAAACCATTACCAAAATGGAGTTAAATATACCACAAAGAAAAGCAGGAAGTCCTGATATTTGCAAAAGCCAATAGAACAAAACTGATTGGTTGATCACGTTTCCCTCTAATTGTATGATTAGCTCTTCATTTGTGATTCACACATGCAATTTTGCCGTGTTAATAAGATGATTACATTACATTGCATTTAGCTGACGCTTTTATCCAAAGCGACTTACAATAAGTGCGTTCGACCAACAAAATACAAACTTGAAGAAAACAGAATCATATAAGTACACCAGATTTCATAGAGCAAAAACATTTCAAGTGCTACTCAACTGGCTTTAGGTAAGCCAGTCCTTTATTAGTATATAAGTGCTTTGTTAATAATAGTTCTATTGCTCGAAGTGGATGTTGTCATTGTGTGGATTGGATATAATTCATTCACCAAATATTAAGCTTATTGCTCAAATAAAAACAATACTTTTTTGCCAGCAGGTACAATGGAAACAGGCAACTCGACATCCAGTTTGAACAGAGAAGAGAAGACTCTGATTGAGGATGAACTGGAACACAACCAAACATCTGGTATCACAGAGGATGATGGTGAGTTTTTCTACTCATTCTGTGCGAAGAAAGGAAACCCCTCAGTCCTTATCAGTTCCTTAAAATTCCTTACTTAATGGTGGGTTCACACCAAAGGTATGGCACCAATAGGAGGATGACATTCATTTCAAACTTTTATTTACATGTTTACATTTTCTGACTGGTGTGCGTTCAGAAAGGCAAAACTCAAACGATACAAAATGTTTTAATCTTTTAGGGGCTGGGTAGATAGCTTGGTAGCTTGCTTAATCCACAGTGCTTCCATTCTGCACTGGTTACTGAAGATAAAAAGCAGGCTAGTAAACAGTGGCAGCGGTTGGAGAATACGGAGCTGCTCCCCACTCTGACCCTCAAACTAATCACCTGTGGCAGAGCGATCACGGAGCCAGCTATTACGGAATCAATTGTGGTCTGATAAAACCTTAATTCATCATATTCAGGTTAAGCAAACACTTGAATTGGCAACTTTTTCACCTGTCACCAAAACAGGAAAAGAAAACACCTCAACCAAATAAATTACACATAAATGGACGCTTTGAGTTATTGGTTCAAATGGATTTTGGCTTTACCGCAGAAACACAACGCAATTTAAAAACAGCACTAAGAGTGCTAATGCCCCAGGGTTTGTTTGAATTGGACGAAAAAAAGACTATTGTGGATGCAAGTAAATACATTTGAAAACGATGTGATCAGGAATGTATCACTTTCAGGTAGTGTACTGGTCTACTGAATAAGCTTATGACATGAAAAGTATGAAATGGGAGTCAATTCAAAGTAGCTGTACTGTATACTAAGCCGCTTGACACAGTAAATCCACTTTCATACATCTAATTTAGCAAAACTCTCAGTTTGTGCATTATGATAATAGCCTTAATTGTATTTTTCTGTTGCTTTTGGTTCATGCATGTCTCAAATATATATTTTTATTTATTGCAGAGAGATTTCAGGACCAAGAAATGTGGTACCCACACAGACATTGCAATGTGTCCGAGCTGGAAAAGTTGATTCACGTATGTGGGGACGTTTTTCACATGAAAATGTCAATCAGCACAGAAGACAGATGTGTGCTTGACAATATAATCAGGTAAGGAATACCAAATATCTACAGGGTAACATTTGTTCTTGATGGCTTGACTTTTACACAAGCTTCTTTTGTTTTCTGATGAATACACACAATACCGGAAAGATCAGTACATTATTAGATTGTGAATGTTGATAAATGTGTTTATCCAGGATGCAAACGTATATTAGTTGTCCATTGTCTAGTGAAACTACCCAATTTTCCAGAATAAGAAAGATTGCCATAGGGTTTTTTTCTCTGCTAGCCTCAGGTGCCAAGTGATCCCTGCAAGATCACTTGATTAATGCATCTGTACATTTACTACAGCAAATATGGACTAAAAAGTTAAATATTTCAAACAAAATGTAGTGGGGTGGTGTGATACATGTTCTGGGGGGGGGGGCAGACTTTGGACCCCCCCGGAATAGGCGGAACTAACGATATTTGCCATTCTAGTCGGACCCATTAGAGCAGGGGTCTCCAACACGTTGATCACGAGCTACCAGTAGCTCGCAAGCCCTCAATAACCCCCACTTTACAAATATGTTTTGTTTGTTTTTTAACGCAAGCCGTCATCGCCACAGAGGAGCAGACAGCCTCTGTGAGCGAGCACACCTTTATCTATTTAATATAGTTGTAAACAATTAAGTAAGAAATCATTCCAATGTATACTGTAGGACAGAACAAAAACAGTTTAAAAGAAACTGATTTGTAAAATATGCATAAATAAAAAGAAAGAATGCTAACTATAGGTAACATAAGATAAGAATAAACTAGTTTAAATGATTTGTTATTGGTTGTGATCATATTCTAAAGATGTTTGGATTATTCAAAAGTATACAGCTCCCTTTCATCTGAGTGTTGAGAGCTGTATCCATAAATTCATTTTGTGCTCAAAGTGCAACAGATTGATAAATTTCACTTCAACATTAAAAAAAACAACTTCCCGGGGGTGCATGCCCCCTGAATCCCCCGAGAGGATGTGAGGTCCACCCCCAAATAAAGCAGGTTCAAATAATTAAATTGCATACAATTTATTTTAGTAAACACTGAAAACGGGTCCCACAGACCCAAACAGCATACAAAGGTTAAAGGGAGGCATATAATAATGTGTAATGAAACAAATACCAATAACTATATTGCATTGTTTTCTTATGCGCAATTACTTCATACAGCCTTTGTCTTTTTCGTCCTCCATTTATTGTGCCCCCCTCAGTAAATAACTGGCCCCAGCCTGGCCCCCCCAGTCAAATTGGTCTAGAACCGCCACTGGTGTGATACAAAAGCATACTCATAGCTGTACTTAATCACAATACAGTTTGTTGAGTAAACGCATGAAGAGTCAACAGTGCTCAGCACAGTGAATGTTTATAATATTAATGAATTAATAATCTCTCACATGCAGCTAACGTTAGCAGATCATCTGCACATCAACAGGTCACAAACAGACTCACTAACATTTCTAAAATGTCAGCTCTCTCCCACAAACAGCAGTGTCCAAGCAAACAAGATATAGTTAATAATAATACAACCTCCAAAACCAAAAAAGGACACAGCAAGGGATAACATAAATGACACACAGACACAGCCATACACTGTGTAAATACATACAAAAATAACTTACTTTCAGGACAGACATCAGGCAGAAACAGACAAAGAAAGTAGTTCACTCACGTTCGACGCCGAAGTCCATTTTTCCTTTCACCCATGACGACAAATTGGATATTATCCATGACACAGTTGATAATTATACACCGCTACACTTATTGTTCGTTTGTTAACATAGTCCATCCTCCTGCCCTCTATCTTTCCTAGCTAGCTGACGTTAGCTATTATAAGCAACACTGTGCCACTAGCTAACTCTCCAGTTGTTTCAAAAAACGTTGTGCTTTTCACTTTCCCTTGTTAGTTTACAGGAATAAAGTACGGTACTGTACTTAAGTAATGGTTAACAATGGACTGTTGTTATTTTTTCCCACTAAAATGTACTTAACCTCAGTTGAGGGACGTGAATGCACTACCCTTTTTGGCCACACACACTGACGTTTAACAGCCGCTAAAAAAAACAGGAGGCGCTGTTTCACTAACTTGAGGAAATGTAATTAAAAATGTTTAAGAGATTAAAATAGGGCTGCAGAATAATAATAATAATAATAATAATAATAATAATAAAACTAATTATGCTTAATATGCACTACAATTAGGACATAAATAAAAAAAAATAATAATTACATTAAATAAATACTCCTTAACAAATGCACTTTTTAATTATTTTTATTAAAAAGGAAATACATATTTTTAAATATTACATTACACTTTTCTTCAATATGAAGCAATTGGCTTGAGACTGAGAGCAGCAGAATAGAGAATTCCGAAAGAATTTAGACTATTTGTTTGTTCTACTCCTATCACAAGATTAGCTGACAATATAGAAAAACACCAGCCTTATCCTTTAACAACAGTGCGCCATGAACAGCAATGGGGCACTGGGAAATATCCATCATCAGGACTGGGCCCAGTACACGGCTGCAGCATGAGTTAGTGCCTCCCTCTGCAGAGTTAATGCATAAATCTGAGTAAATGGTCTATTCCTTTTTCCCACCCTTTTGCACAGACTCAATCATTCTGTTTATTTTCAAACAGGAAATAGTTTGACCACAACAGTTTAGTTTCAAGTCGCAGATAGATGTGACACACTTTTCGAGTGCTTCATGTTCCAACATGAGAGTTTCATTTCAAAAGTGCTGTAGGTAGTTTATCAAAATCACTATCTTCTTATAAAATTAGACATTGTTAGACTTCAAGTGAGTATTTTACCTAAATGTGCGTATATTCTAACCCACTTCTTATGAAATTGGATCACTTAAAAATATAATGTTAACTATTTCTCTTCATTATAAAAAGCCCTCTAAGCTTTTAACAGCTGCTTTTCTTTTTGGCTTCATACGTCTTTGATTATAATCAGTTAATTGTTTCTGTCCTTTCTTGTTTGTTTATTTAATGAAATATATGTAAATATAATAAAATAAACTGTTGCTAAAATACCAAAACCAACTCCAATTGTTGTAGTTTTAAATTTCTATCACACAAAATGTATCATCTGTGTGTGGTTGTGGTTGTTCATCATTAATACATTGGTTTATGTTTCTTCTTCAGACCATACAACGACCTGACGACATGCTTGGAGGAAATGGTATATTCCATGAACTGTAATTACCCAAACCCAACCGTCCAAGAGCTTTTCCTCACCATCCACACTATGTATTTCAACAACTGCTCCATTAGAGCAGTTGAGATTCCATTAGAGGATGCACCTCAGGGCGTTATGATCGCCCTCACTCTCATCCCTGTGAGCCTCATCCCCGTACTGGTTTATCTGGTGGTGTTCAAAAGCAAAGTCCAAGAGTAAGTCATGTTAGATCCTCATAGTGTCTGTGCCTATTGGCTTTTATCAGAACTTATGTATGGTCCTTCTGTCTGTTGGGTCTCGGTGGGTTTTTATATCAAATATTTTAATTGGGCTATTGGCTGGAATAGTGTGTCATTGTCCTTATGGTTTAAACCATGTTCATGTCTTTTTTGTGTGCTTACATTATTGTGTTTATTTTTATTCTATTGCTAACAACCTGTCAGGGACTGCAGATGAAAATGTGCCTTTTTGGCTAAATCAGGCACATTTACATGATGGACTAATATGCTAAGGTTAATTATCTTATATAAATAAATACAAATCATGCTATGATGAGCCTCAACACAGTACATGTTATCATCTTGAGAATATGTGTATTTTGTATGATGCAGTCTGGTAGGATATTATAGGTTAAGTTAGGCAGGTTTGGCCTGATAATAATAGAATAAACTATTGTTTAAAAGTGACTAAGCTGAATCCTTAAGATTTCACACGCTTAAGAACTGTGAATCACACCTTTAACCACATACAGACAGGTTTAATACTTGCTGTACTGTATTCCATCTGAATCCCCTTGCATAGTTTTGAACAGAGCCTACATTCTATTATTGTTTTTATTAATCTATTTTTCAAAAATACTACATTTCTGTGTATATTCTAGGATATACTGTATATTATCTCAAGAATCATTGAAGATCAAAATACATTTCACAAAATATGTCAGCCTGATTTCTTTTGCAGAAATATTCAAGCGTTCAAGAGAAAAAATAAACTGCCCACATGGATCATTAAAGTGCATACACAAACAAAACACTGTGGCATCTTTGACATTTCTAAGAAAAGTGTTTTTTATCTGCTTTGGTTCCCAAAAAAGTAGTAGTAGTAGTACAGTGTGGGCTTTTCGGTGAGGGACAGCTTGATTTACAGATTGTGACAGCAGTACTCATGAGCAACTCCTTTTTCTTAGAGGGTAGATAAAATCGATGCATGTTCTGTAATCTACTGCAAAGCCCCTGTGATTTTGATGCTTCTTGATAGGATGTAAAAGATGCTGAAGATTAGAAGACGGGGGAAGAATTAGCACAGAGTCTCACTTACACCAGCAAGGCCTGTCCTCTGTATGCACTGGAATTAATGGTCACACACACACACACACACACACACACACACACACACACACACACACACACACACACACACACACACACACACACACACACACACACACACACACACACACACACACACACACACACACACACACACACACACACACACACACACACACACACACACACACACACACACACAGTTTCCTTCTTCACACCTGCACCACCCAACACCACGCCACAGTCAAGCCCTCCACTTTCTAGTCAGCCTAGCAGGATTTCCAATAAAACATGTTAACACATCATCTCTCATAAAGGGTAAATGCACTGATCCTCATATATTTGATGACTGCAAGGATTTATATCATTGTTAAATTAACAGTTCACCACAAACTCATATAAACATATTTTCCTCTTCTGTTGTCTTGCTATTTATTAATGAAGATGACTTTGTGTTTGAGATATTGACCATTGAAATGTCTACCTTGTCTTAAAAATAATGAAACTAGATAGCATTTAGCTTGTGTTGCTCAAAGCGCCATACTTACAAAAACACAACAGCATATGTTTTTCCAGAAATCCTGACCTCTTTCCTTTAGATAATCCACACAACTTGTGTTGTGGAGAAAAACACCACTCTCAGTTTTGTATAGGAACATTAATTGAGTCATTCTTGGCTAAATTCTAGCTTTGAGATTATCGTGAGTAACCATGAGGTTTCTGGAAAGAGACATTGCTGTTTAGCTTTGAAATGCAAACGTTCTACTATGTATTGTTAAATAGAGAAGAGACCGCGGCTGTTAAAACATGATGGTCTGTGTTTCCTTTCTCACGCATTTCAGTGGCATCGTGTTTGTTTAGAGCAGGTCTCTGCAGGGATGATTCTCCCAGCAGAGAAAGAGCATTGTCTCTCTTATCTCACACCCCCTGTTGTTACTAGATGACCTGCTGGCATCAGCATGTTTGGCATTTAACTGTATCACAAATCACAATATCAAATATTCAAAATGATAAAATAAAAATAAATAATAATAAAAATCAAATAAAAATAACCGACACCTCGGTTGACGGACTGGTAGCCCAGTACAACACTGCTCTTTCCCTGAGTCTCGACTCACTTGCCCCCCTCATTACCCGCACTGTCTCCTTCACCCACTCAGCCCCCTGGTTCACCACCAGTCTCCGTGCCATGAAAGCCTCTGGCCGCCAACTGGAGCGGCTCCACAAAAAATCTGGCCTCACCGTCCATCTGGAGGCGTATAGAGAGCATGTCAAATCTTACAAGGACGCCCTCTCAAAAGCTAAGGCACACTACTACTCCTCACTCATCGGAAACCAGCAACACCACCCCCGTATGCTCTTCTCCACCATAAACCGCCTACTCCGCCCAATTGACCCCCCCAACCCAGCAGACGCCCCCGAGCTTTGCACCAGGTTCCTTGACTTCTTTGAGGACAAAGTCAACTCCATCCACCAGGAACTCCAGGCTTCTGCCCCATCCCATCCACATGCCACACCACCTCCAGTCACTGTTCGCTCAACTCAACACCTGCCTCAATGTTGTCTCTCCTCCTTTGCACCAGTGGATGCCACACAGGTTACCAAACTTGTCTCAAAAGCTAAGGCTACAACCTGCTCCCTCGACCCCATGCCCTCTGCCCTGGTCAAAACTTGCCTACCCATCCTCTGCTCCACCATTGTTAAAATTATCAACTCCTCCCTGGAATCAGGCAAGGTTCCCGCCGTCCTCAAGATAGCAGGCCCTTATTAAAATAACCAATGACCTCCTCATAGCCGCCGATTCAGGCCTCGTCAGCATCCTTATCCTCCTGGACATCTCCGCCGCATTCGACACAGTCTCCCACACTATCCTACTCAACCGCCTATCCGTCTACCTTGGCCTCTCTGGTACAGCCCTCTCCTGGTTCCATTCCTACCTCTCCAACAGGCAACAGTTTGTGACCATCGGAAAATCCAGCTCTCCCCCAGCCCCTGTCAACCAAGGTGTGCCGCAAGGTTCAGTGCTCGGCCCCCTTCTATTCAACATCTACATGCTCCCCCTCGGTGAAATCATCCGCCGACATGGTCTCAACTTCCACTCCTATGCCGACGACACCCAACTCTACATCAGTACCAATCCATCATCCCAGCTACCCCCACTGTCACTTGTCAACTGCCTCCGCGACATCCAAGCCTGGATGTCAAAAAATCTACTTAAACTCAACAATAACAAAACAGAGCTCATGGTTGTGGCCCCAAAAACACTGCTCCGGAAGGTTGGAGATCTGCTCCTCACCATCGATGGCGGCTCCATCCACCCTTCCCCTGAGGTTCGCAGCCTGGGCGTCACTCTGGACTCCAGCCTCACCTTCAACTCCCACATCAGATCTACTGTCAAAACTGCTTTCTTTCACCTACGAAACATCTCCAGACTCCGGCCCTCTCTCCCCGACCCCGTTGCAGAAACATTAATTCATACCTTCATCTCTACTCGTCTGGACTACTGCAATGGAGTTCTGTTCGGTGTCACCAGCAAAGCCCTGGACAGGCTCCAGTACGTCCAGAACTCTGCAGCCAGGCTCCTCACCCACACTAAGCCCTGGCAACACATCACCCCTACCCTCATCCACCTTCACTGGCTCCCGGTCAAGTCACGCATCCAGTACAAACTCCTCCTGCTAACTTACAAATCTCTCCACTCCCTAGCCCCTCCATACATCTCTGACCTCCTTCAGCCCTACACCCCCTCTCGTCACCTGCGGTCCTCTGACAAAGGGCTGCTCTCCATCCAGCGCTCCAAGCTGAAAACATTTGGCAACAGAGCCTTCAGTGTCGCAGCCCCCACCCTCTGGAATTCTCTCCCCTGTGCAATCAGGAATGCAGACACTCTGGACACCTTCAAAAAACACCTCAAACACCATCTGTTCACTCAGGCCTTTGGCCTCAACTAATATACAGTACTCAGCAACCTGTTCCTGTTTCTGTTTTCTTCAGCCTATGTATCTTTATTATTACTTTTTGTTTTGTTACTTCCCATTGTAAAGCGTCCTTGGGTTTCGTGAAAGGTGCTATATAAATTGAAATTATTATTATTATTATTATTAAATATAATACAATTTCCACATTTTTGGAACGTGGTTTTTGAAGAGATCAAATACACCCAGTGCTTGATTCTTTTTTGCAAGGTAAATATCTTTCCAATGAGGTTCCTCAGATATGCATACAATAAGGCCACAAGTACTAGGCACCTCAATGTTACATCCATATGTGATATTTGAACATCTCACTTCAAACCCATGGGAGTTAATGTTCTTCCGGTTTCAGTCTCCAACCCCCCCCCAGATTCTGTCAGAAAAAGCACAAGATCATTAGTGAGGTTCAACACTGATGTTGGTGATAAGGTCCACACCAAACCGGGAAAACAATGTCTGTACGGAGCAGGCTTATGGACATTATCATGAAACAGGAAAGTGACACACAGGATATGTTAAAAACATTCTCTTGTCTGAAACCTTCTAGGCGTTCAAAATGAAAAAGTTGTCTTTATATGACCCCACTGCATACACCAAACTATGTTGGTTTCTTTTACATTACATGTCATTTTTTAGTCGCTTTTATTCAAAGCGACTAAAATACATTCAATACTGTGGACAATCCCCACAGGAGCAATTTGGGGTGAAGTGTCTTGCCCAGGGACACAACGAGATGCTGACTGCAGTGGGACTCAAACTTGCTATCCCCTGATTCGAAGTCCAGCACACTACCCACTGAGTCACTGCCTCCTCCTTGCTGTACTTGAATCACTTTGAGGGATCTGAAAAGACAAAAAAAGGTCAAATCATTCTTAAGTGCACATAAAAACTAAGATTTTAGATATGAACTGACATTTAGGATTTCTTATCCCAACTTGTGGCCAATTATGGAGGTATCAAGTATTATGGTATGCTAAGATTAAGATTTCACTTCATTGCAATCAAGAGGTCAAAACCATGTGAACGAAAAAGGCAAAAGAATATGTGAAGAGTCACTTTAAAAACTGCAAAAAGATATATTGCCACCTACTGGTTGACATTAGGTCAAATAAAATGATTTAATGAGTCATGTATTAACATTTTATTTTTTTAGAACTTGATTTATACATTTATCAAAACACCTCAAGGACACGCTTAGGCCTACATGTAAGAAACTATTTGTTGCTTAAAAGCCACACAATGAGACACA